GTTTTTTTTCCTCTGTTACAGTCTCATAACTCAAGATTTTTAAATAGAAATCAACACGGGCTTATTCTGTTTGTTTTCTGCTGTCTTGTCTACTTCTTTCTCCCACAAGAAGACAAACTACCGAAGAAGCATCTTTCATTTCAAATGTTCAAAGAGGACTTTCGGGTAGAAGTGAGTTAGCGACATCTAAAAGAATACATGGTGCCCATGAGGAGGAGAGATGGGCATTGAAGGAGTTTTCAGAGCAAGCAAGGGCTGCCTTTCTGTAGGACACAGGAGACTTCCAGGTTCGCTTAATATGCTGTAGGTATCTGTAAGAAGGGTCAGTGCACAGTTTAAAAAATACATAGTGGATGATTCTAGGCTTTGGAGCAAATCCAAAATGACAGCTGGGATTTTACCTCTCTTAGGAAGAACTCCTTGAACCCCCGAAACCAAGTATCGCCAAACTCATACTGTCCTTAGAGTGAAGGCCGCATGAGCAAGAGACTGACTGGAAGGCTCTGGTGTCAGAATACGGGGAGATGAGAGAGACACAAATGTTCTGTTCCCTCAGCCACCAAGAGCTCGTTATTCATTCCCGCATGTTTGAAGACTGTGATCGAACAATACAACTAAAGCTTTCAGTTTTTTTCTTTTCTTTCTTTTGAGACAGGTTTTTTCTGTGTAACTCTGGCTGTCCCAGAACTCACTCTGTAGACCAGGCTGGTCTTGTACTCAGAGATCTGCCTGCCTCTGCCTCCCATGTACTGGGATGGGCCACCATCGCTCAGCCCAGAATATTTCTCTTGCCAGGTAAAGGAATCACTAGAAATGAGAGAATGTGCCTTTTGCCTTTTTTCTTTTTATTTAGAAAACTATAAAATGGAGACCAAGGAAAGTCACCTTTAGGAATATGTACTATAGTCTGTGTAATTTGGTTAAGGTAAATCAAATTCACTTTGAATTCTGCAAACTCAGGCTGTATCACCAAACAAGGTACTCAGAAGAATTTATATTCAAAGAAATTCCACAACTTTGAGGTCTTGTCTAGAAACAATGGCTACAGCTATAGGTACATTATATCATTTTTTATTTTTGAAATTACAATTTAATTAAAATATTTCTCTCTTCCCTTTCCTTCCCCACTCCAAACTCATATATATATATATATATATATATATATCCCTCCATCCCTACTTTTTCAAATTCATAGCCTTTTTTGACTAATTGTAATTGTCCATTCTTTTTAATTAATTAATTAATTCTCACCCTGATCACAGTTTCCCCTCTCTCCCTCTTCCCCCCAAGTTCCTTCCCCCACCTCTCCTCTAACCCCTCAACTCTCCTACCCCCCTTTCTCTTCAGAAAGGGGCAGGCCTCCCAGGAACATCAGCTAGCTGTGGTTCGTCAAGCTGCAGTGAGACTAGGCACCTTCTTTCCTCTTAAGCCTGGACTAGGCAACCCAGTCTGAGGAAAGGGTCCCCAAAGCAGGTAACACAGTCATTGACTAATAGGAGTTCCCACAAAGACGACCAAGCTACACAACTGTCACATATGGGCGTAGGGCCTAGGTGAGACCCACACAGGCTCCCTGGTTGTCAGTTCAGTCTCTGTGAGCCCCTGTGAGCGCAGGTTATGTTGTTGAATATGTGAAGATGTGTTACATTTGTTTCACCTGGCCTGTCTAAGTTCTGATAAAAACCGAGTGGCCCATAGGTAGGCAGGAGAGGGACAGGAGGGGCTGCTGGGCAAAGAGAATAAGTAGGAGGAGAAATCTAGGCACAAAGGAAAGGGAAGGACATGCCCAGGGAGAAGCCAGGAGTTTGCCAGACAGCCAGACAAGAGAAAGCAGAACATACAGAAAGAAAGAAAGAAAGAAAGAAAGAAAGAAAGAAAGAAAGAAAGAAAGAAAGAAAGAAAGGTTTAAAAAAAGCCCCAGGCAAAACGTAGAAAAAGAGAAACATTAAAATAAGAGCTAAGACAAGACTGAGCATCCCTAACTCATAAGTCTCCCTGTCATGATTTTTGGTAGTTGGTTGGTGACCCAAAAGAAAAGACATGCTACAAAGTTAGATTCTGGGTTTTCTTGTGGTGTCCTTTACTTTTCTGGTTCCTACAATCCTTCCTCCCCTTCTTCCACAGGATTCCCAGAGCTCCGCCTAGCATTTGGCTGTCGGTCTCTGCATCGGTTTCCATCATTGTGGGGTGAAGTTTCTCTGATGAAAATTGGTATTGTCCAGTATTTAAAGGGCGTTAACCTGTTAAAATTAGTAAGAAAAACAGTTTTATACCCACCCAGCTGTTTGGTTTCTAGTCCTTTTTCTTTTCCTTTTACTAAAGATCAAGGCAATGCTACAATTTTCTTGAATAGACTTTTCGTTACATTCTTTTGACTGTGAGACCACTTGGAACAATGGAAAAGAAGACTCAATTTAAATGATCTAGTTCTGTTTTCTAACACTTTTTGTCAAGAGAATAATATAATGAGAAGGATTCATGAAGACATTGCTTCCCTATAAGAAATGCCAGGGGAAGACTAGAAAGGGCAAATACTACCACCATCAACCATCACTGAGCTTATTTCCTTTGTCACTAGAGGTACAAAGAGGAAAGTTGTAATCCTGACACAGCTGAGGGCTTAGTTGATGATGGCCTTATCTGTAAAAACAATGCAAAATGTTTGATATTAGTGAACAGATACCTGATCAATAAAAAGGGTGAGGTGAGGGAGTTATGGCTCCATGGCTTTATCTCTTGCAGCTGTATAACTCACAAGATAATAACAGACCCTAATCCCAAAGGTGTGCTAATTTGAATCACTAGTGAAATAAAAATTTTTTCTTGTATGCCTAGCTTTTCTCAGAGTCCAATACCTAGTGGGACTTTTGTCAGCATTAAAATACAGCCAGTAGGTATGCGTTAGAATTCTGTCAACCCCAAGCTGTAACTTACAGGGTGGGACAGTAATACTAGTAAGGTTGCAATAAAACCCATGCACGAGGGTCAATTCATTTAGATGTTTATGGGGTAGTCCCCCAGAAGCACACTTGCTAGAATAATCACTCACAAGTAAATATTACATAAAATGTTGCAGTGGTTTTTATCTTGTGTGTGTGTGTGTGTATGTGTGTGTGTGTATGTCTGTGTGGTTGGAAGCTGAGTGTGTGCCTGTACCCACAGCCAGTCTGGCCATCACTGGATGGATTTTGTTCTTTCTCGGAAACTAATGACACATTCTTTTCTTTACACTCAGTTGGAGAACTAAACTCCAAAGCAAACTTAGATCAAAACCAAAGTTATCCTAAGACTCCTGATGATGGGCCATTTAAAAGTGACAAGTGTACCATTCTGTTTTCTAGACTTTGCCAAGAGTCTGAAAAAGAAGGTCTGAGCAAGCTCAGAAGGATTTCTGAGGAGGAGCTCCCGAGATGTGGAGACTCTATTTCTACTTACCCCTTCCATCCTCGGTGCTGAAGCTCTGGCCCTGAGTGTTTCCTTTCCTTAGGAGAGATAACCATTGGTTTTTGGCCACTGGGCAGTTCTACAATGACAGCCAACCACTCATGCAAGAAGCAACTGCAGGTGCAAGCATTGCCTGCCTGATAAGCCTGCTTAAGAGGCGGCAGGAGAGACCTTATCGCTTAGTGTGTGATTGTTATTTCTCTGGCAGTGCTATTATGCTTCCAAAAGAGGAGAGAGGGGAAGTTGGCATGAGCCAATGCCTTCGTTTAAGGAGGGGAACCACAGTTCCTTCAGAGGCCAAAATAAAACGTAGAGGAGACCCCCCAACCCCACCCCAAACCAAACGCCATAGGTGCAGTCGCTGAAGCTCCATATTCTTTGGGACATATCAGATAGGAGGTGGGGGGCATGGTCGTTTTCCAGTCAGAGACCCAGACTTGAGGAGGTGGATGCCATCCCTGTTCAAGATTGCTGCCAAATGTACCTCTCCTGGCACCACTAAAACCCGGAGGAAGAGCCCACATACTTGGGCAGAATCCTCCAAGCTCCAGGACAAAGCCATCTCCTTCTCTCCTTTATTCATTTCCACTGGTTTTACTGCGAGCCTATGACAAGAGGAAGAAACTAATCATAAAACCTGATCATAAAATCCGTCCTATACTTGAAGACAGCTATTAAATATTCACTCAGCAAAGGTCTGCTTGCATCCTTGAAAACAAAAGGGACTCCCCACTCCCACCGTGCCCACCCCTGGGACCAGCGCTGACCATCCCGAAAGTTGTCACTGCCCTAGGTTGAAGACGAAGTTAGCGAATCCGGAGCTGCGAGTCTCAACTTGGGGGAGGGGGCGACAGGCAGGGCGGGGTGCGGTGGGGAGCGGCGAGAAGGAGGGACTTGAGGGAAGGACACTGCCCCCAGCTTCATCGAGGTCATCGCCGAAACCGCCTGAGCGGCCGGTCGGGCTTGGGGCGGGAGGCCCGGGAAGGGCGGGCGAGGGCTCCGCAGCCGAGGCAGGTTGCCAGGCTCCGTACCTGGCGGGCCGGGCGAGCCTCGCAGGCCGGCGGCCGGGGCGTGGAGGGTGTGAGCGCGCGCGCCCCTCCGTGCTCGCCCAGCCTCGCGCGCGTCTCGGGGGAGAGGCTCCGGCGACAGGCGCCCCGGGAGCCCGCAGCTCGGTCCCGCCCGCCCTGAGGAGCTTTGTGCGGCCGCGGCGGCTCCGAGTCCCACCTGCTGGCGGCGGAGGGACGAGGAAGGGGAAGAAGGAGGCGAGGAGGAGGAGCGGAGCGAGGCGGCGCCAGCCCTGAGCTCCCGCCGGCGCCCACCTCCGGGGGCTCGGCGGTCCTGCACCGGCCTGCTCGGGTCCCCCGGCCTCGCGGCCACACCGCGCCACCGCGGCTGCAGACACCCCCCCTTCTCGCCCCTCCCGCTCTGCCCGCCTATCGTGCGGCCGGCCCGGCCGCCAGCCACCGCCACTGCCACCCCGGGGAGCTCCGGGGCGACTTGGAGGCGAGCAGCGGGGCGCTCGGCGTCGCCTCCATGTGTCGGGGAGTCGCCTCGGCGCCCCAGCCCCGCTGAGCAGCCCCGGGCGTGTTGCGACCGGCCGGAGGGCGTGAGCCAGGAGGCGCGGCGAGCCCCGCAGCCGGCGACCAGAGAGCGAGCGAGTGAGCGAGCGAACCCCGGAGCAAGCTCAGGGAGCAGACACCATGCCGGGCTGGAAGAAGAACATCCCCATCTGCTTGCAGGCGGAGGAGCAGGAGAGAGGTGAGCCTCGCGGCCGAGCCTGGCGGCCGAGTCGGGCGCCCCCGGTGCCTCCCGGTCCCTCAGCTTCTCGAGACCTGTCCTCGGGCCGGCAAGGGAGGGGCGCCGAGCCCTCGCGGGGGGGGGGGCGCTCCCGACCAGGTGGCACCTTGCGAATTCCGAGAGGGATTTTGGGGTCTTGGGGCGGGGGGGAAAGCCGAGGGGGGCAGGAAAACGGTGCTGCAGCAAGCAACTTTTCGCTTGGGGAAAGATTTTTTTTTTCTTTTCCTGGCGAGGACCTAGAGGAACTCCAGCAGCTCCCGGGCCCGCTCGCACGTGGAACCCGGGCTCCTGTCTGTGCGGTAGGCGCTTCTGGTGCGGGGGGTGGGGGAGAATCTTGCAGTGTTTTAAGTGACTTTTCAAACTTTCCTACTTCTGCCGCGGCCGCCTTTGAGATGTCCCCGCCTCTGGCTGGGCTACGGTGGTGCTGCCAAGCCCGAAGTTGCTGGTGATTCTTAAAAGAGGAGGAAAAAGAGGAAAAGGGGGAAGAGTGTGGGGGTGGAAAGGGGGCGCTGCCGTGGGTCACTGGAGGGGGGAAGGGAGACGGAGAGGGCTGTCCGCAGGCCTAGGGGTCTGGGACTGGTAGTGACTGCCTAGGAAATGAGTTATGCCCCAACGCAGTCCTGGCTTTCTTGTTAATACCGCAGGACTGCGGGCTTTTCATAATTACCGTCTACTTTTTTTCTAAGAGATGGCACTCGGTGCCAGGTGCTTTGCAGACCTTTTATGCTTCGGCCTGACAAGTGTACTGGGCACGTTGCTTTGAAGTGACTCGCGGAGAGGAAAGTTGAAGGCCTTTTGCACCTAAATGCTTGGCTCTGTTGTCATTTTATGGCGTTTGGCTTGTGCAGTGTTTGGCCAGGAGTTCAGCTCTGTAACCTGGATATGATGTTCTCAGAGTGCACCAAAATTTCCTACAAGGCCCCATGGGCTGTGGGGTGTGCAGATCCAGAGGGCTTCCTGGCTGTCAAGGTCCACCAGGGTTTATAGTCTCCTGTTTCTTCTGCTCCAGCCTGCCCTGGCTTGTTCAAGGAAGATGCTTTAGAAGCGAGTGGCTTTTGGGATGCAGGGTCTTCCTGAGTGTGTCCACCAGCTGGTGCTGGAGGTTAAATGGTGCTGCATGGGTGGGTGGCAAGGAAGCAGGAAGCCAGTCTGCTGTACAGAAAAGGCAGGGTTTGTTTGTTTGTTTTTTCAAAAGATCTTGATTCTGCAGCGTGGGGAGCTAGTATGGACTGTGGCTGGGTTACTGGCCATGCCAAAAGTTTCAGACTCTTGAAATAATGCTTGCAGTGGAAGAACCAATGTACAATTTCCAGTTTTTCTCTAGGTGGCACAGCGTGTCTTTGGTTGATAGCCTGTTTAATGACTCAGGGAATTTGTCCCTTTGAAAAGCACTTCTTTATTAGATTTGTGCATTTATTTCCAGTACACTTTTTGGCATGGGACCATGTATTTACCCCTCCCCAATGGTACCCCTGCTTCAGAAATACAACTGTCTTTGCTTAACCAAATTTATCACCAGGTAAAAGCACTGAAAGAAAGCATTGTGTCAGGCACACACTGTCTGTCCTATCAGCTGCACGCTGCAACGCACCTGATGTTAAGAGCATCCGTTTGATTAAAAAAAAAATCACAGCGCTGCCCTCAGGTTTTATCAGAATGCTGAAGTGGGTATTTTTTTTTTTTATTGTAACAAAATGTACTTGTATGTCTTTTAGAAATATATGGTAACTTTGAAAGCTGATCACCTAATCTGCTTGGCTGAGATAAGACCGGAATTCCTCCAGTACAAAAAAATCTAAATCAGAGAAACTGGACTGTCTTAGCCCCTCCAACAGGAGAAAACAGGGAATGTGTGTAACTTTGGTGCCGCCCCCCATTAATGATTCTTATTCCTTGCATATAAAATATTTTTCTAAACAACAAGTGTTTAGAGGTAGCCCGGTGTGTGTGTGTGTATACATATATGGTTGTATCCTTTGAGGTCCTTCCTGCCTTATTGAGAATGTACAAATGTTTTTGTTCTTTAAATACTGCATACAAACCTATAATTCGTGTATAGGAATGTATTGTGTATATGTAAATGAGTCAAGATGCTTACATGACTTTCTGTCAGAGGACATTGCTTGAGCTTACCTTATACCTTTTGCAAAATTTTATTATAAAGTATTGAGTAGTTGATGTTTTCTGTTTGTATTTGAATAACATTGTCTAGAGTTCCCCCTACCCCTGAGATTTTAAGTAATTCAAATAGTACTGAATTAGGTGCCTTTGAAATATAAACAGAAGGATTAAACTGACAGGAAAGTAATGAACATGGCAGGCGTACATTTTTAACATCGTCTGACGGTACAATCAACTGAAAGGCTGTTTTCTAGTATCTTATATTAAATCCTAAGGGGGGGGTGTGCTTGCTGCCTTTTCCAGACTACGCTAGTACAACTTTCTTCAGTGTATGTTTTATTTAGTTAAATCTTTTTTGCAGTTGACTGTAGCCCATCTTTCTATGAGATGCTACCTTCCTCAAGTTCTAGATCTCAGCATTACTTGTTTAAGATGCTAATCTCAGTTCACGGATGGATGGGAGGAACTGGGGAGATGGCTTAGTCAGCATCCTTGCAAGCGTGAGGATCCAAGTTCCAATCCCCAAAACCCATGTTGCAAAAACCAGGTGTACCAGTGCCTTCAATGCTAGTGTGGGGGAGGTGGATTACTAGGGCTTGCAAGGTAGCCGGGTCAGCTGAGCTGGTGAACTCTGGGTTCAGTTAGAAACACTGTCTCAGAAATAAGGCAGAGGAGCAATTGAGGAATGACAATGAATCAACACACAAAAATTTAGGGGGTATACGTTTATGGTATTATCACATGCTAGAACGATTTGGTTAATCTGTAATTTTTGTGTCGTACCGACATTCATAGCTGGGGTTTGCCTTGAAGGCCCCTGTCAAGACAATATTGAATGAGCTATGGCAATCGCATGCAGGGTTGAGCAGGGAAACTGCACTGTATCAGTTGTTGCAGTCCGTGCAGTCACTTCCAAGATGACACGTGAAGACTCACCCGTGTGGGGTGACATACTATTAAAATTCAGAACACATTTCTCTGTCCTCCCTCCCCTCCCCCCATTTTCTTCTTGAGCTGCTAAACCCAATCCATTTAGAAACCATCAGATACACTTTCGGGTAAATGTTTTAGGCGAGGAAGAAAGAGTATGATGTTCTCTTTAATATCCCTTCCAATCAAATTAAATTAAGCAGTTTGTTGGTTGTTTCACATCTGCTTCTGAGCCGTTCCTTTGCAATAGGGATGTGGTTGCTGAGAAGAGCCCCAGCACACTGGGATCGGTGCCTCTGTAATTAACAGTGCCGTTCTTGTACCTTGTGGCTTTCCTCTGACTGGGAGGCTTGGGGTAGTGGTGCTTATCATAGTCAAGCAATGCGTAGTGAGCACTCAGGACCAAATGTGCTGCTCAGGAAGACGGCCATCTTTCTATTGTAAATGTGCCACTTCCTAGTTTACTTTGCAGCAAGGAAACAATACTAACTGGCATTTTCTTTAAATTTGGAATTTAGGCTGAATGGAATGTTCAAGTATCATCCTCTTCTAAAGATGCTCTAACTGCATTTATATGGCCGTCTATGTTTGCCATTTTTTTTAGTATTCCTTCATTCCTTTGCCATTTTAATTTTTTTATTGTAGGTTTTGGAGGTCTATACATGAACTTGAGAATGACCCTTAGCATTTCAGTTACAGAAGTTACTGCTTAGAGTTTTTGTGTGAATTTTAGCAAATGAGAGATGTAGATGCTTTTATGTGTTATATACTTTTATAAAGCATCGATGAGAAAGGTGGGGGAGGGTTAAAGAGTGTGCCCTTACCACCCCTTGCTCTGTTTTATTTTTATGTCACACGGAGACCTGGTGACATCACACTATGCTCTGTGTAATAAAAGCCAGCTTGACATTTGGGTTTTGACTGGTGAGCTTTGTGTGGGAGAGGGAAGAAGTAAAGAGATCTAGAGTCCACGATGTGTTAGACACCGAATGCTGCACAGCTGTGGCTTTGTGGAAGTCTGTGGTTCCCGGAAGGTAGGTACTATTGCCATATCAAAAGTTGTGGCCCAGAATCAACACAGTTGCTTCCAGTTACAAAGTCAATCCCCTGAATACTAACTTCTAAAAGAGACAATTAAAAAAGAAGTTAAGTTACAACTCCTTAGAGAAACTTTGTAGCATTTTATTAGCACAGTATAACATCTTGCACTGTTCCTCTCAAAAAACACTGCCCGCAAATCTCTCACTGTGAACTTCTGAGGTAGTTTTTTATAAGTTACACACATGGGAAAGCACTCGTCAGGATTAATGGTGTGCTTTCTGTACACTAACTTTGGAAGGTAGACATAGTAACTTCAGTAGTAAAGATGGCAGCATGAATGGATGTGTTTATTTCTTCTTGTTACCTTTATTTATTTTGTATATGGAGTGGATGTCTTGCCACAGCCTGGGTATGGCAATCAGAGGACAACCAGTGGGATCCAGTTCTTTCTTAGCATAGGAGGGTCAAGTATCAAACTCAGATGGCCAGGATTGGTGTACTGAGACACCTCCCAGGCCCTATTTATGTAATTTTTGATACAGTTTCTCCATGTGATCCAGGTCGCCCTGGAGCCCTCTTCCTTGCTTCAGACCCCAAGTGCTAGGATTTACATGTGTGCACCACCACACTTGGCTCAACATGTTTCTCAGAATTATTTGACAAGCTTAAATTAGCTCATTTAGGTGATCAGTTTTTTCCACCAAGGTTTCGATATTATTATAGTTTTCCTTGTCTTCAGAGTGTATTAGCCATGAAGGCAAGAATTAAGGAAAACAAGGTATTGTTTTTCTGTTGTGAGCTGGTAAATGACTGCATTGTAGTGGCCATTGTGCCCTTGCTTTGTTGCCAAACGCATTATGTAATTAAAG